GGACGTTTGAAAGTTAATCGAGGAATTCATACTCTTTGGTTCTTTCGGTTAAAGTCACGTAGATAGAGAAATAACTAACAGATCAGCTTCAAATCAAGATTTAATCGAGGAAGAAAATCGTCTTTAAAGGGCAGCCTTCTTTCTGTACAAGTGCCACTTTCTTTCGTGGCTTCTCCGATTGTGCTCTCGTGGTGTTACATTGTACATCTCATAGCTGTACAACACAAACTGCAAAAGCGACGCAGCAGCAGCAGTCGTCGTCTTTGTTTGCGTTGTGCCCTTGACAATCTATCACACAGCCCCTTGCCTCCACCTAGCGGCTGTTGTCTTTGCTGTTGAGAATTAGTTCAGTTGGTTTATCATCCAAGCTCCCGTATCTCCGACGAGCACGTTTGTCTACGTATGGTGCGAAAGGAGTTCGACATACGTACATATGAAGCTATCATAAAAATAGGAAAAAAATAGATAATTAGACCCCATCTCAGCAAGAGATCTTTGATCAGAATGAAGAGTTTATTGCATGTCCATTGTGATCTCAGTCTAACCCGACTCAACTTACCATGCATTTTACTTTATTAGATTGCCAAATTATTGAGGGGTGTTTCTATGGGGGAGTTTATCATGTTTATGTTATAGTTTATTATTTCATGTATTCAACACCTAAAATTATTTCACATTGTAAATGTGTTTCAATAAATATAGTTAAATCATCTCATCTGCATTTATGCGTCGAATCCATCAATACAAAAATAATGCAATGCCCTCTGTTCATCTACTGGTGGTTGAAGGCCTCCTCATGCTCGTTTAGTCATCGGAGGTGTGTGACCCTGCTTCACCATGCTGGTCAGTGCGGTTTAGTGGAGGGAGTCAGGTCCAGGCCCGCTTGAGACTGGAACACTCACAACTGATATAAGCTGTGATCTGGAATTGGAAAACAGGTCACTGGGTTAATAGTGTGCAGTGCACTAATTACTGTGCCATCACGCCTCCACAACCCCTATAACAGGATCAGAATCTTTATTTAGACTGGTGGAATCCGATGAGCGATGAAGCTCTTTTTCACAGATGTCCAGTATCAACAGAGTTAGGAAAAGGTCGAATTTTTTTTTTATGATAATAGTAGTGTCCTTTATTTACCCGGGAAAGCCTCACTAAATCTCAAGATTTTCGGTAGGAAGGTCCTGCGTTGGGATGTTTGGTCAATACCGTTAACGAGAGTTTGGCTCCGTGCGGGAGGAAATTGGGGAACTGAGAATAAAAATCAGCACATGCGAGGAGAAGACGCTCAACACTTTGCACAGATTCATTTCAGAATCCCTTGCCGTACTGCCAACTTCTACCACACCTCGCTCCAATAATGAATCTCGTCAACAACTTAGATGGTTAAATAATGGACGGAAATGTGTTTTTTTTAAATGCTCTTTATTCACCCTACACGGCCTTGTCATGCTACGCAGATGTTATAATGTTCAAATAGCTTTTTTTACAGCACTAAATATCCAGCTGTCATCGTCTGATGGGTAGTCATTTACTTAAAAAGTTACGGTTACAGAGACATATAAAATGTATTTCAATATTCCACAATTGGAACCTGTGCGCCTTTTGGCGTCATCCGGTCCAAACCATGTGAGACTACGCTCTAAGGAAAGCTGTCTCGGGTGTGGACCAATCAACTTCAAGGACAGTGCACATTATCAGTTATGTTTTTTGTTTGCATTATGACTGCAGGTATTGTGGTCTATGCAAACATGACTCTTTGTAAAAAAGGTGTCAGTTTTGTTGCCAGATAGAAGGGTAAAAAACCAATTATCATATTTCAATATTGTTTGGCAATATTCTTCGACCACCGTGCTGGTGAAAGGCGGGGAAGGGACCCAAGACCAGATTCAGATTGGAAACTTCACCACCCCACGTTAGCTGTGTCCAGGGGCTGGAACTCGGGTGGCGGAGTTCATGAGTGCAGTCATTTTCCGCAAAGGTTACGTTTGGTGTTTGCAGTATTATTTTGAGCAATTGTTGAGTAAATAGTGGCAACAATATCCTTAATACAACCTCTGAGCTAATGCTATAGCGGTGGCGCTGTGAATGTGCTTCCCTGGGAATTTGTGCCCATTCCTAAACGGCCGTTTTACTGCACATCCGCAATCCGTGCGGGACAAAGGAAATCAACCGCTGAGGATTGCAATTCACGCGGTGTATATATTTATATATTTTGTTCCTTAGTCTCCTCATATGGCTGTATGTTCGGGGCAAAAATGCGACGAAATAAACATTTAATAAATAAATAAGAGGAAGGCTTTTTTTTGTTACAAAGCATTTGACGGAGCTCTGATGCAAAATTTGCTCGCAATGTCATTTCTTCCCACGAACAATCGCGGTGGCCCTGGAGGGCAGGAGGAAATCTGCGCTTCCCTGCACTCTCCACGCACGCACGCCCGTCCGCACGCTCGCACGCCTGTGCTGGTCGCGAGCGCACACTTGCATAATGCGTAGCGGTGGCGCCGAATTTCTGATGCAGTGCTTAATGTCAGCTTTCACGCTGCAGGCCATTTTATGGCCATAGCTCTTGAGTACGCATGAATGCTCGAGCATGCTTGTGCATGCATGTGTGCGCGTTCGTGTGTGCACGCACGCGCGTTCGTGTGTGTGTGTGTGCGCATGGGGAGCGGTAGTGTAGTGGTTAACGCGCTGCGCTACGAACCCGGCGACCCGAGTTCGATTCCGGCTCAAGGCCAACACCAGTGACGATTATCTGAACCGGTACTGGTCCTCCCCTAGGTTGACTCAGCCTCAAATGAGTGCCTGGTGCGGTGTGTAAACATCGCGACTGGGGAGACAAAGGCGGTCGGGCGTGGTGCTGGCCACCCACCCCCTCGTGTACCGTTCCGGCCTTCATAGGTGCTCGCTAACAGCACTTGCCTCTACAGTCTGTTCAGGCTATATGGGGGATCTTTATCTTTTTGCGCTTGGGGAGCGATAGTGGAGTGGTTCGCATGCTGTGCTATGGACCTGGTGAGCCGAGTTCGATTCCCACTCGTGGCCAACGTTGGGGGCGATTATATCTGAACAGGTCCTGGGCACCCCCGTCGCTTGAGACCAAAGGTAGCCGGCCGGGTATGGTGCTGACCACCCACATCCTCGTGTCTTTTAATGCTGTCGTGGAGATCTTTGTCTTTGTGTGTCTGAGTTTTCGAAGAGGGAAGGGAGCAAGAAATAATAGTGATTTTCTGAATCATTCCTGGGCCTCCTCTGAGTCGACTTAGCCTTAAATGAGCACCTGGTGCGGTTTGCCAACATCAGCACTGTGATACCTACCACACCACTTCTTTATGCCCTATGTAGACCTCCATAGGTGCTCACTCACATTACTTACCATAGCAGTCTATGTAGGCTGTACGGGGCATTGTTGTCTTTGTGTGAATGTGGAGCTGGAGAAGCGTGGGGGGGGGGAGTTGATATGCGCGTGGTGAGGGTGGTAAAATATATTTTTAATTTTTCGTTCATTCCACCAAACACACTGATCCATTCATCCAGCTGTGCCATATCCCCGCCTATGAAAATGCAAAGGGACCTTTGTGCCTTCACACAGTTGTAATGATTACATTGGTGTGCGGAACAAATGTCTTAATGAAAGGGCATGCTCCAAAGAGTGTGCATAAACCCTGTGCCTGTGTACCATTTGTAATGGCTAGAAATGGCATGATTATTAGGTTTTTTGTAAGATCTTAAGATGAATGATAATGCATCGCCCAAGCTCTTTGTGCAACGATTCATTTTAAGTGGCCACTAAAATGTCCTATCGTATGTAAATCAGAAATAACCACACAATGTACATGTGCAGCATTCGTTCGTTTTAATAGTGTATTGCCAGACTGTGAACAATGATATCTTTCAAATTAATCACTGCCGTACTTTCATTGACCAATGCTAAAATAATTTCAATTATATCGGAGGGCCTGCATTATTGATTCCACCCCACTACTGGATGAGATGTGCATAATATATGTTCGCGTTAGAAGGAACAACGTTTGCACTATGAGGCAACAACAACTGGAAAGGGTGTATAAAAAAAATACAACATAAATTACTGCTCAAGGTTAAAATTTGGGCCAGTACTGATAACACATATCATTAGCGGCGTTCTTTTTTTTTCGTGTGTGTGAATCAGCAAATAAGCGTCAGACTTGGCTGGAAATCTGCAGGGCTGGAGGACATTTCGTGGGGGCAATTGCCTCTGATAAGGGGGCTCTCTGCAGTCGCACTCGCTCAGGAAGAAATGCAATGCTGATTTAGTGCAAATTATTTGACTTGGTCAGGCCAAAGCAGATAATATTATTTTGGGATACACTGAGCAGTTTGAGGACAAGCGAAGTGAAATCAATTACTTTGGAGCACACTGGGTTAAGGATAAATGTTACAGGTTATTAATTATTTCAGAAAATGCGCTTGCAGGTCAGCCCGCTGTCCCCATAAATAAGATAGTGCGGCGATATGTATTCGGGTGTGGGCAGTTCTTGGCGAAACAAACATTGACAGAGGTCACGGACAGTTCGCGTCTTCTTTATGATGAGACGACAGTGTAAGATAATTTGAATTTTTTTTTTGGACTGGAAGAATCCGATGAACTATGAAGCTCTTGTTTCGAAGATGTCCAGTAGCAACAGGAGCCACCTGTGCCAAGGGCAGCACGAAGTGATAGTGAGCCTTATTTTGTGCTGATAAATTCCCTAGGGATTTACACGTTTCATGATCTCGTATAGCCGCGAGTAATTTAAATTTACGAAGGTCTGAATTTTAATATCTCACAGATAAAGCGACGTGAGATTTCCCCCCCCCCCTCTCTCTCTCTCAGAGAGAAACAAGCAGCCGCTATATTGCACCTCCGACTTGGACTGGTTGGCTACGTGCGGTGCGAAAGAAGTTCAACACGTGCATGCGCGCATATTCAAATGTTACGTTCCTCATGTTCTAACCTGGACTCGCTCCTCTGCTTCCCGCAGGTGTCCGATGACATTTTAGTGGCCTCGGCAGAATGCCCCACGGATGACGAGGATCTCGAGGAGTGTGAGACGAGCCCAGGTAGGTTAGGTTAGTCCGCCGCTTTCATGCACACATCCTCACTGCAGCGGCTTGCCAGAGCTCGTGAAGAGAGCTTAAATGGTAAAAGCTGTGTACCGTGCCATGTAAAAAAAAAAGGACTGCACGCTAACCGTTATCCCAACAATGTACTGTTATCCCACCAATATGTAACTAATCGTTACTCATAGAATAGCTGTCCCCATTGACGATTCAATGATCAGACCATTTATTTTTTATTTTAGGCTTCTCAGGTAGGCCTCAGCTATGAATTGCAAAGCTTAAAATGTTGCCTTGTCATATGTGGAACAGCAAATTAGGTAGTAAATTGTTCAGTAATCAGCCATCGATTAAGCTGATGACAGTCTCAGAAATCTGATGATAACCGTTTTCTTGGTCGTCTAAATATATTCACCAGAGACTGCTAAAGACGTTAAACCGCTGGCGATGTAGTTCAATTAAAAACATTCCTTAATTTTGTCGAGTTTTAAGCCTTTCTCAAACAGTTATCTAAAAGAGAAGCATAATATCTTTACAAAGTCTTGGTACACTTTGCAATTTTAATAATACATAAGCTGACGTGGACATTGTTTGACCACGTTTAAATATATCTGTTTTGTCATTCTGGCGTGAAGATTGTCAGTTACATTCAACGCAAGAATAATTTCCATATTATATAATTTATCCTGGTTAGTCATATCTGATCATTTTATGTTTTAACTGCTGAGATTATGCAGTCAGGTTTTGTAGAAGGGTAAGTTTCTCTAAAAAAAGAGAAAGTACATTTTTATTTTTGAATACATTTAAAATATCCAATTATTACTTCTTCTTTATTACTGAAACTGAGTTTAACATTGGACGAATTTTCAAAGGTTTTGAAACTTTACCTCCAAAATTACTATCTACTCGTCAAATTGAATTTCATAAAATGTGTGTGCAGTCCTTTTACGCTATATAATTCTCACCTACACATTAAAACCAACTCTCTATCTGTGAAAACGTGTACTTTGACATTTCAAATTTTGTACTATCTGTTGGAAAACAGGTAAACCACCAGGTAATGTCCTTACATACACAGTAATTGTAAACTCAGAGCTTAACATTAGAATAACTGAACAAATGATGTGCACGAATATGTGAAATCAAATACATTATTTTCGAATTCACCATGCGGGGTTTGTTATTATAAATAACGGAATGGCTGGGTGTTTAAAATAAAATACCTTAAACATCAAATAGAACACTCACTTTAGTGCCACTGATTTTTTTCAGATTCTCTTCTGCATCAAAATCACTAACATTCCAAGACAAACGCATCTTCATAGAAACAGAACTGTGGTGGTATTGCAAAAAATAGGGGCGCCACAGTGGCAAGATGTTAACTACCTCGCCTAGTATACAGGAGGCCATCGTGGGTTTGTTCCCAACCCTGACGCCTGTATATTTGGGGTTTGCATGTGCTCTCCGTGGTTGCGTGCATATTTTTCACGGGTCCTCCAGTTTTTTCCTCCACATTTAGAAATATAAGCCATATCATTGATCTATAATTTGTTGCCATGTCAGGTGGGCCTTACCTGGTAAAATAAAAGTTGACCCACGTTCCCAACCCATGGAACCTTGTCAATTGTGTGCCCTTGAAAACAATAGCCGCTAAATTGAGTTAAAAGTCAGAGCAGCGCAGGTCCGACACGTGACTGTGGAGCCTGGGATATTCCAATCAAAAATCTTGTCCTTTCACTTTATGCCCAGTGAGCTGAGTCACATATTGGCTCGAAGAGAATAACACTGGAGCCAAAGTGCTGCGTAGAGATGGTTGGATTTTTGGACATGCGGTCTGCGCCATGTGCTGCCTTAACTCAATGGCTGATAATTTACAAATGTGATTCCATCCATTTCAAATAGACACGCAAACCATCCACCGAAAATGTACTAAGCCACACTGACGCATGCACAGTGAGATGCGATGAGACATTTTAGTGCCATATATTTCATGTTTTCATGGGGCAGTCACAGCAACACAATGCCACTTAATAAAGGGAGAATGTACCGTATGTTTGGGAGCTGATTGGTTATTTATTGCTATCCCCAGGAAATATGTCTGTCCATCAGACTGTCCAAGGACATTACACGTGTTTCTGATGAAAATGACACAACACCTTACAACCATCAATATGAAACTTACCATACAGTTTACCAATTACCAGTTCACTCGATCTGTATATGTTTGAGCATGATTAGGAAAAACGTGCTTTTAAAACAGTTTTCCGTAAAAAAAAGTAAATTACGCTATGTACCAATCCAACGTGGGTGTAAGCTCATGCTCCGATTAGCACGGTTGGCTATGTATGGTGCGAAAGAATTTCAACATGCATACATACGCATAATGTGCACATCAGTTTGTACACGTATTTGCAACAACACGGAGGCTCTCTTGATTGAATTACTTGCCAGCTTGTTAAAATTTGTCCACTAGCCTGTGTTAAGCTCTGAGTTTTATGGCGTGCACATTTTGTGTCCATAACCATTGTTTGATGTCAAATATTACGCAGCAATGAATGCATGCTGTTATAAGCCGTATAACATTGTTTTTATTTAAAGTTAAAGTTTTTTTTAAATGTACTAGTTTTTTTTTACATGATGATGTTAAACATGCTCAATATGTTTCTTAGCATTGTTTGATTTACAAGCGTAGGCATATTGTATCAAGTGTGGTAAATAGAAATATGCTTCGTTATTATTGTCTGCCTTTATATGCCGTACAAAATGACATGCACAAGTTGTTTTTGGACCGACGGTGAAATTGTTTTGCCTGTTGTAACACAATCCTCAGCAGCCCGCCTACTAACTCCTGCGTGATACAACAAATAGCATGAAGATTACAAACGACGTTGTTCATTAGCTGTAGCAACAGTTGGGTCCCATCAGTGACAGTTCCTGGCAAAAGCCACTTTTACCCAGGCCCTGACCCAGCAACAACACCTTGTCCCTTTCGGAGACCCTGACCTACCTGGCCCTACACACGTGCACTGCATGCCCTCCCTTCCTTCTGTGCATCTGTATCTCCTAGGCTTCCATTCATGCTTCTCCTGCTTCTTCCCCCCCCTCTTCCTTGGTTTTTTGCCAGCCGCCTTTGTACCATGTGCCGAGACAGAGCGATATTGAAACAAACTGGGCTGGCGTTTTCACTGCCTCTCTCTCTGTGCGCATCAGGGCACGCCTTCAAATTGAGTGCAGTAATATCATTGTTGTGTTTAAATCACGATGCAGATTAGGACAGGTCAAGATGCATTTTTCTTCTTTAGAGCTCTCTTAATTGTAACTGAAATTGGTCATTAATCAAGCTATTATCAGCTTAACTGATCAAGTTAATTTACAGTAGTGTAATTAATTTGTATTCAATTAATGTGTTCAAAACATTAAAACAAATCTAAAGAGACAGTTTCAATTGATAAAAAAACAATCGTTGTTTATATTGGCCAGCCCAGCTCTGTTGTTATTATCTCTGTGGTCTGAGGTCACATACGATGCTGAGTAATTTGTGTGTGTGTGCGTGGACTAGAATGTGCAGTGCCTGTGTTAGCACATGCACAATCGGCACACCTCAGGCTTTAAGGGAAATATACTGCCACAAATTATGATACTCATTTCCAAGACTTTGAATACACTGTTAAGGGAATTTTTTTTTTTTACATTTTGGATAACAATACATTTTATTCATAAAGCAGACGCTGCGTTTAATTTGGCTTATATTGTCAGGAAAAAAATGATTGAGTACGAAGCACGACATTTAGCATTGTTTATAACATGAATTGAATTTGCTGAAAAAAATCTAGATCATGTTATATTTACGTAAACAAACAGCGAAAATTGTAATACATTATATATTTGTTTCTTTCGCAAAATTACACGTTGATTCCTTTAACGCCTGGTGTGTGTTCAGATGTGCACTGGTTGGCATTCTATTAACCCCTTCACAGGCCTTTTCAACTGCTGTAAATGGTTTTAGAAAAAAAACATACCAAAGTATAAGATGTCACATTGGTGCTGCCATCAGTATGCAACGTATCCAGTAATATTGGAGACGGTTTAGCGAGAATACGATTAACCTTAATGGGGGTTAAGTACCAGCTGAGGAACCCATTGTGTTGCATGAGGCCATTTTAAGGGGCCCCTGTCTGTCATACACAGCTCAGGATTTACTCTGCTCACGGCGAGTTCTATTGCACACAGAACTACGCAGGCCAGCCGCAGAGGGACGTACGGCTTATCACGGTCACATAGAATGGAATAGTCTGCATTAATTGACGCATGTGTAAACGCAGCAGTCGCCCTTGATAATATCACTGATTTGTGCTTGAGGCTGGGCCGTACGAAATATGGCACCGTGCCTGCCCCCAACTTGAATATTCGGGTTGTCTTGGTTATGGGTGATGGTGCCCTCTCTCTCTCCCTATGAAGCGAAATTGTACATTCCCCTCCAGCACGACCATTTCACGGGGATGGCCTGCCTCGATGTTAATGCTTCAGCACGCACGCAGAGCGTCTCGCCGATTGTAAAGCGGAGCGGTGTGTGACATTGAAACGCCCTCTGGTGGCCGGCTGGTTGTATTGCGCGAACAAAAATGGCATGACTTTTGAGTAGGCAGTTGGCGTGTTCAGGCAGAGTGGTTGGAGCCCAATAATGATTTACAAGCCTTTGTCTATACTCTTTGGTTCTTTCGGTAAAGTCACGTAGGTATAAACTATTTTTTAATATATATTTTATACCTACGTGACTTTACGGAAAGAAAAATTACATTTTTCTTTTATACCCACGTGACTTTACCGAAAGAACCAAAGAGTATGGATTCCTGCAGTCACGAAAGCTTCAAATCTAACCTTTGTCTATCCGCTGCTGGATGAATGCCTCCCCATGCCGTGTTGGTGATTGGAGGTTTTATTGACCATACTTCACCACGCTGGTCAGTGCAGGTTGGTGAAGGGGTTTGTCACATCAATCAAAACATGCCAATGAGTTACTATTCTAGCTGTCGCCTGATGAGGCTGGTTGTAATTACCGGCGAAACGTCGTACTCGAATTTTAAACGATGTGGGTTTACTCTCCAACACACCGGTGTGTGCTGAACTGGCAACTAATTGGTGTGTTTTGTTTGCATGAGAAACTTTACTAATTGGCTGTGTCAGGTGGTGGCGGGTTTAACGTCACATTATATTTACGCGATCGAACCCAAAAAAACTATATTCTTGGTGAAGGGGGTTGGGAAGGTGTCCCAGGAAACCCAAGACAGGTTAGGATATCACTCACAATCGACGTTAGCCACAGGCAATAATCAAACTCAAAGAGTGCGAGATTCATTGTACAAGTGAACTCACCACTGCTGTACCGCAGCTGGTTTCTAAATGGAAATTACCGCAGCGTTTGCCTCGCAACTTTTATTGTGTGTTGGCCGTTACAGAAAGTATCGTGCAGGCGGTGAAGAATTCACTTGTGTCTTTGTCAGTGAGAGCGTAATGTAAGCCGATCCTCCAACGTGTGCTTTGGATAGCAGTGACAGTGTCCTTGTGAGGGGGTTATGATCGCCTTTTGGTTTAGTTGACTGTATATTTCTTGCATCTTTAAGGAACGCTTCATATTACTTCAATTCACGGACGTTTTTTTAAAGCACCTTTTTTGTCCATTTTCCCCATAGTCCAGTTCAGAGCAGTGTGTTTTGTTTATTTTTGGTTTGACGTTACACTTCAATGCAGATTGCATTGAAATGCAGATTGCATTGAAGAGAGTTTGTTTTTTTGGGACAAACTGCCTCTCCAAATTAAGACACGATTTGAGTTGTGACCTCCCATGCATTTTTCGTCAGTTCCCTCAACTGGCTTCTAATAAAATGAGATGTCAACCTTCCTTGCTGGAAGGCAGTTTGTCAGGCGTTCACAAACGTGTGCTCCTCCATTGTCGTGGAGTGCCTTTGTCTTTTTTTTAGACTCAGATTTGTTTACGTTTTATCACATTCCCCTAAATGCAACTTACTTTAAGCATGCATTGCTACATCAAAATCCGTCAGCCCATCTTTACTTTGTTAGAAGGAACTTTTCTACATACCCTTTGCATATTCGTTAATTGTAACCGCATTGGCATACGCTCAATTGTTTTTTAAATCTAAATTTTACACGCAAGCCTGTTAACACAACCCGATATTTATCTCATACCGACCATCCTCTTATGACCCATTAAAAATAAACTAGATAGCCCTCTACATTGCCAAAAGAAAAAATATATATCTCATCAGCCAAAGGTTAACCCATGCAATCGATTGGAATTACTTTTCGTGAAAATAGCCAGAGAAGCGAGCCATTCATCGGTTTAAACGTGCAGCATTTTCTTGTAGGCTCCTGAGAAAATGTGTTGTGCATGAGTGAAGAAGTTGCAAGTTAGGGCCGTGTCCTGTGCAGCGTTTTGGGATTCCTCTTTCACGTATTGCTTTGTGTCACTCGTAAGCGGATGGGCACAGAAATGCTTACGGTGTGTATGTCCCCCCGTCCCTTTCTTTACAGCCAAAAGCTCTAGTGCCGGCCGAGCGCTCCGTGCTCCCTACACACGGACATGGCAGCTCAGTCACTCTCTCACTGCCCTCATGTTCATCTTGTGCCATACGCTGCGCGTGTAGCGCGTTGGCAAGGGTGCTTTGATGATGGCTCACAAGCCGCACTACCCACCACCCCCCTACCCCCAAGCCCCCCCTCCCGTCTCTGGACAATGCTTCTGCAATGTCGTGGCTTTATGAGCAAAACGATAGCTCTTAAATAAACAAAAAAATATTAAAAGTATAAGAAGAAAAAAAACCCCACTCCAGATTTATCCTCATGCTAGCGCAGTGAAAATTACTCTTTTCGAGAAAGGGGCAAAATAATTATACGGACAGCGAAAGTTGTGTACATAATGAAAACGTGCAATATAATTTAATGATACGATCCTTTTATTTCTCTTCAATAAAGATGTTTACATCGTAGTGCCAACATTATTATTAACAGTTATTATTATTATTTAGTCAGTGGTCATGTGCTGTGATATAACATTTTAGTGTTTCAAACGACATTGCTGAAAGTATTGAGAAAAAGTGCGAAAACTGTTATTTCAAGGAGATTCTTACAAAATTATCTTTCAAATTATTTTTTTTTTTCTTCATGCAAAAATCATGAGGGCAATTTGTCGATGTAAGTTGACCCAACTACGCGGCATACTTTTTTGAAAATTCACTTTTACCATTAGGCTAACATTTTACTGTAAACATATCTTTACACATAGATATTAACGACATCGATTCAGTTGTAATGCTTAATAAAACAAACTTTTCTAATTACCTAATGCATCTGTTGCATAAATGTTCAACTGATGATACATTTTTGATGTTATTCTCGCGTGGCTTTTTGCAAATATGTATTGCTCTTTTCGTTTCTTTTCGTTTTCCGTTTCCGAATGCTCTTTCGTTTCTTAGCTTGCTCGTTTATTTTTATTTGTTACTTGCTGTGTCTTTGTCTGCTGGCTTGCCTGCTTTGTCCCTCTGTGCACATCCTAACTACGCTTCCCCCCCTTTCTGTTCTCTTCTCTCTTAGGAGGGGAGTTAATATACCCAATTGTAACCGAAGAGCCCTTAGAATTCCCTCTGCTAGCCACCCACACTTCATTCATCCCCCCGCCACCTACGCACCGCTCCCTGCACCACACTCCGCGCACCGCCACCGCAGCGGCCGCCCCAACGGCCACGCCGTCCCCCCACCGGGGGGCCGCTCCGCGCTGCCCCTTGGACGTGGACGCCGAAGACAGCGAGTGCGGCGGCCCCGCTTTAGTCTCGGGCTATGGCTCGGGCGTCGAGACGCTTGACGCTAGGCTGCCCCCGAGCGACGACGAAGATTTTTCGCCGGCCCCGCAAGTGCCCAATCGGCGGGCCGGACCGGGCGACTCTAGGAGTCGAGACTCGGCGTATTCCCCCGGCACGGGCCGCCCCGACGCTGCCGGCGAAATCTCGCGACGACCGCAGGCCAGCGAACCGAGGCCGCTGGCGCCGGACATAGTCCTGGCGCCGCCGCCGCCGCGCACGGGGCTAGGCGTAGAGAACCCAAAGCTCAGGAAGGCTGTAATAACCTCCTCCCACCCCGTGTCTCGTGATATCCCCACAGCGAACCCGACCGAGGGAGGCATGGGCGGCAGCCTGCCCGGCCATACGGTGGTGATTCGCGAGTCGGGAAGCACCACTGGGATGGTGGTGGGCATCATCGCCGCCGCCGCCTTGTGCATTCTCATCCTGCTGTACGCCATGTACAAATACCGCAACCGCGACGAGGGCTCCTACCAGGTGGACGAGAGCCGTAACTACATCAGCAATTCCGCGCAGACCAACGGCGCGGTCATCAAGGACAAGGAGGCCAATGCCTCCAAAAGCTCCACCAAAAACAAGAAAGGCAAGGAAAAGGAATACTACGTTTGACGCGGAAGAAATCGAGGAAAATTGTGGACTTTCGAAGGCCAACTGCCGCCCTCCCTGCTTCGAGACTATAAAATGATGCTTTCGGCCTTTTAAAAGCCCCCCCCCCCACCCCGTCCCCCGTAAGAGTGCGTGCAGACTTTCCAGGGTAGGATGGGATGGCGAAACGTGCCACGTATGATGATATCCGCTCCCTTAAAAAAATCGAGAAGCCACCGTCTTCAGAGCTGAAGTTGCGGATATCTCGCCAAATCCTAAACAACCAACGAATCGCAGTGACTGTGATTGAGAACTTTCGGTAACTCTTTAGTGTGTGTGCATTAATCGTTTGCCGCTTAAAGCATGTATCCAAATTTACATTAGCTAATCGATAAAAAAAGAGAGCTTTCTTGCATACAGAAAACCGATGCTCGGGGGGGGGGGGGCGGGTTATAACTGTTACAGTGTCGTTCCTCGGTATTGTATTGTGATGTTTTGCGTTACTGTGTGTGCCAATGTCATTCCCACGAGTTGAAGAAGCCCTCCCGTAGGTGTGATTTAAAAATAATATATATACAAAGGAGTTTTAATTTTAGCATGTTATTTCATGCAAGATTATACAAGCTATACATACTGATAATGTTGAGCAAGGATACATTGTGTTTACCATGTGATGCTGTAGTGCTCATTTATAAAAAGCAGATCTACGATGATTGTGGACAGTATGTATAACAAAGGTTATAAAGTGAATGGAAAGCAATGTTTGACGTGAGTATAAAGTATTTTTTATTTAAGTTACTTTACGAATAAGTTCCGGTTTATTTTTGTACTTGGTTTGTTGCATAATGTTGCACCTAACATTATTTGTTGTTTGCTACCTTCTTACAACTGAATGGGTTTTTTTTGTCACGGTATGCATAAATATTCGAATGATTATTTCAAAAAGTTTTACTACGAGATGTTGTTTATACCATATTGCTCTAAAAAAACTATTCTCACGCGTTTAACCATCACACCTAAAACGCCTCTGAATTGAGGAATTAAAGACTTTTCATTGATATTAATGGAAGGTTTCAGTTGCCATACACAGGTGTTCAATGACAAAGCCGCCACCACTACTAACTACCCTCACACATTCACTACTAGTGTGGTTAACATCTTGACCCGTCGCAATTCCAAATCTTGACAAATTTTTTCTTTAGCCGCATGTCCCACGAAATCAATTTTCGCGACGCATTTTAACATAAAACGGTCAACCAACGTACGCGCCATACGCCAATCAAACACTAAATGTGATCAAAATGAGCAGAAGACTGTGCACGATGGATGAAGGTAAGTACTCGGAGTTTCTAAGCTTAAACTTACTGGACCTGTTCCATCTCCTCTCAGTACTGTGACCGATGGCTCGGATTATTTTTTTCGTGCAAGTGTAGTCGCTTAACTTTCAACACCCTCTGATCTGCTGACATGAATTTCGCGAGTTTCGTACAGCCTCAGAATGGTCTGTTTATTCTGCCTGGAGGCGTGCTCATGCTGATGTAAATAAATGTTCGGAGTTTGTTTTTTGGTAGACAGTTTTGTAATGATTTCCCCATCGTTCTCCAGATCAGGTTTTTTTTTTTGCGTTGGACGAATATGTCAGCAATAAAGGGTCATTTTGATCACGTTTTGTAATTTTGTGAGGGTAAAGTGGAGGGAGGAGGGAGGGAGGGAGGGGGTGTGCAGGGAGGGGAGAGCATTGTAATCCATTACACTTTTTCTGGTTGCTACCTGGCAATGTTGTTTTGTCAGGAACGTTTCGGCCACTAAAATGCCACCCCCATCCGCTCACCCCCCCCCCCCCACCGACCTGGAGCCCCCCACCATAATTTCATAGCCCGTTATTTCTATTCAATTTAATGCAGTCAGTAGCTAATACTGCTTTACATCATATTAACCTCGAAATAAGTTTTATTTAAAAAAAGTTTTTTCCTCGCTTCAACCGTTTAGATTACATTGTATCAAAATTGTAGTATTGCACATTATTGTTTGACGACAATTAAAAATCCAGTATAACATACAACAGACTGACTCATGGTTGAAGACTTAATGTACAATTTTGGTTCTTTTCTTGACTTCGTACGAGAAAAAAGAAAATCAACAATTAAAATTGTTCAAATTATGTGAAAGTTAAAAATGCAACAGAGTATGGGACCCTTTGGAAAGCTTCAGAAGAAGTCTTATTTTATTGTAGACTACTTTTATGTTTGTATTTTTGTATTCATTGCAAAAACAATAAATAAGTATTACTTTATCTCAACTATAGCCTCTTCCATGATGCTAATTTTTACATTCAACTACCGATGGTTTGGGTGAATGCGCACACAAGCACGTGTAATTGTAAACATCAACATCCTACAATACTGACATTTTAATTGAGTGTTCGGGTAAGATCTTGGAGGCCGCTTATCCACTCTGCAGCAGCAGCTGTGAGATATGGTAGATGGTCCAACGCGTTGGTGAGGTGTGGAGCAATCAATGGTTTTGGCTACGATGCCATCTTGATCTTGAATTATTCCCCAATCCTCATCAACGACACTGCCTGAACATAAAATATATACTTTAAATATAATTGGCGACGTTTCAGGCAATGGACCTTTTTCATTGCACATTCTTACAAAAAACGGTTTTAAAGCAAGGCTCAGTGCATGCATTTTCGAAGAACTTCAATTAAAAAAAGATCATGCTCAATATTGATTAAATGGCACCTCAATTGTGGTTTACTTTTGTCGATTCGTGCGCTGCACCACCGGTATTAAGTTTTACGTCCACAGCAGAGACGAAACGATTAACTCGGCTCGCGTGCAGGAGCTAAATGGATCGTCACATTCCAGGATGGCGTGAAATGGCAACAACTTGGGGAGGCCTCCATCCAGCAGTCGATAGATCATGGCTGATGACAATTATCATACCCACCAAGTATGGCACTAATTACTCTAAAACACGTCCTATTAGTACGGCTCGCTACATACGGCACGAAATAAATTCAACATGCATACTACATTGTGGCTAAATCGAATCTGACACAATGGCATCACATTAGGCGCAGTCTAAAATAATCTAATCTAAGAGCAACTTCCCAACACCGACAAAGTAGAGTGCATTCATCTTCACTTATCGGCGTGATCGAATTTCACTCAGAAGCTGATAGATATGCGCTCCTAATGTTGAAATGAGTAAGGAAAGGAGGCATGGTGGTGACAACAGCCGTGGCGAGTACCATGTCGCTGTACCACTGGAGGGCGTTGCAGCCTCGCTGCCCACGATCGAGAAGCCGGGCAAACGCAACGCGCCAAATTCAAACCAACCCCGACGCGTTGGCCACTTAAATCTACACCAGAGGTCGCAAACGGGTTTTGATTCCTTACCCGTACCCGGCCGCACCAGGGTCCCAAACGGGTACCCGTACCCGGCCGTATCTGTACCCTACCCGTACCCGGCCGGGTATGGGTAGCCGGGTATCGGGTAGGGTACGGGTATCAGGTACCCGGTTGCGACCTCTGATCTACACTATGAGACCTCCTTTACCAGTGGCAAAATATAGTAATAGGCTTCTACCCAAAAGGCGTCATCTGGTCCAACACCAATGGAGACTAGGCTCTAAGAAAAGTTGTCTCGGGTGTGGACCAATCAACTTCAAGGACAGTGCATATCATTATCAGAGTTGTTTCTTTTTGTTTGCATTTTGACTGCTTGTGTTGTGGTTATTGCAAACATGATCCCTTGTATAAAGGTGTTAGTTTTTGTACCAGTTGAAAGGGTAAAAACCTATTACTACTCTTAAATCTATTCACATCCTTCACGATGCGCGAGAATCGGATTGTGCGTGGAAGAATCGCCTGGTTTTTATATATGTTGAACGTGCTGCAAGAAGGGTAAGTGTGGCTTGGGCAGGTCACGTCGCTCGGAGAAGGGGATGATGATGATGGGTGTTCCGATGGTCGAGAGTAAACGACGGAAGTTGGCATCCAATGAATGTAATGCGTCCGAGAACAGGTTCCCCAGCGTTTGAGATGGAGAGACGAAATGAGCTCGTGTGGATTATTGACATCGCGTGATCGTGAGAGCTGGTGGCGGCTTCAAGAAGGTCTTCCATTACAACTCGCCGAACATTAAACTTATTCAGTATTGTTTAAAAATGTTTCCAGAATAATAACGCTAATAGTATTTGCAATCCTAACTCGTGGCAATTCGATATAAAGTCACATTTCCAGGTATAGCCATGTGAATTAATAAGTTGCCCAAGTGTCTAGACGTCCTTATATCAAAATTAAACTATTTTTAAATCCGCTCACGACAGGTCCACACAGATATAGCCGGCAAATGCTTGCTCACGACTCTGCGGGCGTAAGGGTCTCTCCGCTTAAGAGAGACCTCTCTTGGGGCATTTGACCTACTCTTTTATTCTGGCCAGACGTTTTGGAAGAGGTGCTAATACCCACACTTTACCCCACCTGCCCATCGACGAACTGGTGTCTCACCCGTTTACACCGCTGGCTGAAGAGGGCAAACAGTGGTGGAGGCTGGGATGACGGATTTCACAACCCTGGCCATTTATTCAACTGGCACGCCTGGAGATCGAATGCATCGGACGACCCCCTGGATTGTGCAAGTCCAGCGTGCTCACCGTTAAACACCGCGCCAGCTCCGTTGCCATGTCAGCTCATTTGTGGGAGAAGAGGAGAGGGGGGAAATATAGAAATAAAATCACGTTGTCATTAAGCAATGCTTCAGCCAACGAACACACAGCAACTCGGCCGTGTGGTAATTGGATATCTACTACACTTTCAGTCGGTGCCTTTATATAAATGCAGTAAAGTACGTTTTGTAATTGCGGTGGAGCGATGGGGCGTGGTGGCCTCCGCCTGCAATCCGGCTACTGTGGCTGCCATGGAAGTAGAAGGTCAGAAGCCGAACATTGAGTGAGTGTACACAAAATTAACCCGTATAAACAAAGTTTTTCACTATGAATCCTTTATATGCGTGGCGGCTAGAGTCCTCTGGCTTGAGATGGCTGCCACCTATGGGTCAGATGATTGCCTGCCACCATTAAGCAATTGGTAATTAAATATAATTTATTTTTTCCTAAAAAGTGTAAAATTTTGGAAACATTTTTTCACGAAAATACATTGTCACGCACAACGAGTCTGTGTGCAAAATGTCAGCTCGATTGGATCACGGGAAGTGGGTTAAAAAACGACCGAAAATTTACACGGTCGTAAGCGCGCAAGCAAGTGAACTTAATATAAAGGATTTAAAAAGAGACACGTTCAAGAGGCAGGTAAGAGGGACAAATGTATTCGAGAAACATACGCAGGTCGACAAACGTCACGTTGACTTCTGAGGAAAATAAGTGTGCTTGGGAAAGACACACCGCCGGATGGTATGATGGTGGTGGTGGTCCGGGGATAATGATCACCGTGATCCGAAAGCATAAGCATAATCTTCTTCTTGGTTCTTTCGGTAAAGTCACGTAGAAGGGAAATACTAAAATACTAAAAATAAAACATAATAAAGTCTTTCCGACAGACCTGTTCTTCACCTGAGGACGGCTGCTTGCGTTGTGGCCGAAACGTCGAGAGAATTATTTTATAATGTTTTATTTTTATTATTTTATTATTTCCCTTCTACGTGACTTTACCGAAAGAACCAAGAAGATGAATCCCTGCAGTCACGAAAGCTTTAAATCGAAGCATAATCTTGCTCGTCCTTATATCATTATTTGACCACCAACATTTCTCAATCTTTTTTTCCCCCCCACTAAGTAAATCGCATCTCAGGCGTGTTTTGCCTTCCTTTGGGTGCTTACTCCATCGTTAGTCTCGATTACTGAAATACAATCTCTTCTTGCGAAGAGGTGTCCTGCCCAATGCCCACAGTGCGTGCTCTCTTATCTTGCGCGTGCACTTAACTCCACGTGTTCTTTCTTCTCTCGTGTTGCAATTCTGAATGAGGCACCGCTCCCTACACCTTTGCGCACTTTTATCAGCTTGTGTTTTTACGCCCCCCGCAGGCCACCGTGCACTTGCTGAGAGCTCACTTTAAATAATTTGCATTGTCCTAAAAAGAAGTACGGTACTGCATGATGCAACAACAACAACATAGAATGATACAATCACGTGTGTTTCCACGCGAATACCGAAAGCAATACGGGTTCGGAGTTATTTAAAACGTGATGTTTTATTCCTGTCCTTATCTAAGTGAGCTTCATGGGTGATCTCTGGTGCAGAATCTGTCGCTAGCGGGGGGGGGGGGGGGTGAAAAAGAGTCACAGCTAAGAACGTGGCTCGTCTGCCAACAATTCTGACAGCTTATGCAGTCACAGCTTATCCCAGGACATCATCGGCCAATGATCTTCCACACAACCAACTCATCAGAATTAATGGAGAGCTCTGGGAACGAATATGATGTAGATGCTGAACCTAGTCCCTACTTGAGTGGAAGTGAAGGATATCCTGGAAGAAATAAAGCCACGTCAGTGTGGGCGCCCTTGTGGCCCTTCTCGCTCATTCGTCACAACAATTATAATAACTATCAGCCATGGTAAATTAACTGCTGGATGCAGGCCTCTATAGGAGCAGTACGGGTCTCGACTCGTTGCCTAATGACGATTGATTGATGGGAAACGAAATTAAAGAATGCCCCCACCCCGTATTTGTACAGAACGTACAAAATATCAGAGGGCCATTTTGATTTAAAGCTTTCGTGACTGCAGGGATTCATATTCTTGTTTCTTTCGGTAAAGTTGCGTAGAATGGAAATAATAAAAATAAAACATAATAAAATTAAATTCTCACGACGTTTCGGCCACAACGCAAGCAGCCGTCCTCAGGTGAAGAACAGGGCTGTCGGAAAGACAGCGTCATTCAGACGTCATTCAGACGCTGTCTTTCAGACGTCATTCAGACGCTGTCTTTCCGACAGCCCTGTTCTTCACCTGAGGACGGCTGCTTGCGTTGTGGCCGAAACGTCGTGAGAATTTAATTTTATTATGTTTAATTTTTATTACTTTATTATTTCCCTTCTACGTGACTTTACCGAAAGAACCAAGAAGATCAGAGGACCACATTTGTGATTTTGAAATGTCTTAAGCTTCCATACATCAGCAGCGAGAGAGACGATTTAAGTTACTAGAATTCAGAACGTTGACTTTTTTTATGTTCCGTAATTTGTTCCAGTTAAAACTTGTGTGACATTTCCATACGATTTTTAATATGTAATAAGGTGCAGCGCCGCCAATTGTTCGTCGACGTCACCGAT